ACGACTTCATTGATAAAAATAACCTCCGGCCCCCCATTGCGAATCACGCGCGCCACCCCCACCGTCATTCCCTTCAAACTTTGCATGGATTTCTCGGCATCGTACTCCTGGTAGAAGCCCAGGCTTCCATTAAAAATGACAATCGCCAGCACCACCCCGAACTCCGCCCAATCGCGAAATACGATGCTGATGATGATCACAATGCCCAGGATCAGCGTGATGGCATTTAGGAACTGCCGGATGAGAATAAAGTACCATTTCGGGCCCCCTTTGATCTCAATTCGGTTATCCCCCAAATCCCTAGCATGTTGGGGGACTTCCTCCGCGTCCAGCCCGCTTGTGGGGTCGGCCAGCTGGACCAAGTTAAACACGCTTTCGAGGGAAAGGCTCCACCACTTGCTGGCGGCATCATAGCAGGATGGCGTGGGCTCATCTTTCTGATCATCGCCAAACGTCATGGCCTGGTGGACACTCCCGTTCTGGACATGCACGGGGAAGTTTAAGGCATCCTTCAGGGTGTTCGGAGGAGGTGATGGAGTAGGATTCGATAGGTCGGTCAGCGGGGATCGAAGGTCTTTCAGTGTTTTATCGCCAACACCGGCGACATTGGGAAGTACACGAGTTTGGATATCCTCTAGCCGCAGTGCGGCTTGGCTCTTTTTCGAGTCCTTGGCCCTGGCGGAGGGCTGGCCAGCATCAATGGGTTCGTGAACCTTTCGAGGTACGCGACTTCCGGATGGCATGTTGTACACTCCACGTATAATCAGGATATTAACACAAAAAGAAAAGCGCTTGCTTCGATTGGTATTATCTATGACTAGTAATCGAATTAGTGGAGACGTCCGTTAAGTCCTTATTGTTTACGCTAAGTGTATAAATATTCCTAAGCATATACAATATTTTCCTATCTAGAGAGAAATACTGTAATTGTAGAGTGGGAAAAGTGCATTGAGGAAGTAGAATAAAGGAATATTATAAATACAATTATGAAGTAGCAAGGAAATTTTTAAAAATAATAAAATACATTAAATGAATGAAACTATAACTCAATGTATGACGACTGAGTCCTCAAAAAAATACAAACATAAATTTACGTTTATACGTAAAGTTGCTACCTTATGCAGTTGTAATATTATATATATGCAAATATATATAATAAACCGGTTTACAAGTATTTACCATTGGTGTAAAATTTATTTCAACAGTGCTAGGCTTCGGATATCTGTATCAAGCACCACTATACTGTATATATAGAGAGAGAGAGAGGATAGAATAATAAATACCAAGAATTAGAATCAATTACTTTTCTGGGGTATCATATACTCCAATACCCTAAGATTCCTTTACTATCATTTCAACAATGAAGCTTCTAAGACCAGTATGGATACGAAACCATCAAGGTTCTGTGGTTAAAGCCACAACCTGACAAAAATTCAGAGGACGGAGATCATATGAAATTACATCTTTAGATAAAGTCTTTAGGTGTTATGCAAGAGAATTTCACAAACTACAGAATTTTAATTTAGTCTTGTCCAGATGCACCTCTTGTAGGACATAGTGATAAATATTCCTACAAAACGGCAAATACAACCACAAACTCACCTTACAAGTAAATCAGCACCCCCCACAAAGCGCAACAAAGGAATAGAGCAGAGAATACGTGTAGAACAGTAAAGATATCAATTGATACTGAAAAAACTGCAAAAGCAAAGCCATAAAAAGACGCCATCGCTGCAATGTAAATAATAAAATCTAACAGAATAATTGAGAACCTCAGACATAAACACACACCGTAATTCTGATCAGAATTATTCTATCACAATATAAGAAAGAAATATCGAGCTACAGATGAAATTCACTCCGTGAATTTCATCTATTTTTAAAGCAAGACCAATGTAATATTGGCTCTTATTGATTCCCAATTCATAAAGGTGTCAAAGCTACGCACTGAAGTCGCAATTGTTTATAAGTTTAATGTCCATCAAAATCATTGCTACAATCACCTTCACTATTATTTGGTGAATCATCCAAGGGTGTCGCCACACCTTCATCACTGTTAAAACCCTTTGTATATTTTTCTTTTGGCAAGACTCCATCTTTCGAGGAGTTCGGATCCGAAACTGACATCTTCTTTGCTTTTAAAGCTTGGCGTACCTCCTTTTTTCTGCGACGATACATTTTCCGTAGCTCTTCTAGCTCATCTTCTGATGGGGCTTCCGGAACATCCGCATTCGCTTCTTCTGTTAGTTGATTCATCTCCTGTCGATGTTCTACACGAAGGGCGCATAACATTTCCATAATGGTCTCAATGCCCATAGATTTCAAACGCTTCTGATTCATAGCATCCAAATCCATCAAATCAGACATGAGAGCCCGAGAAGATATGGTGTCCGCATCACGCGGGTTCTCCTGATCAAAAGTTTTTAAGGTGTCTAAGAATCCACGTCGGTGCATAAACTCACGCAATAAAGCATTCGAAAGAAGATGAACTTGCTGCTCATGCGGCATTCGATAGACGGGCGCATTATCTAAATTTTTATTCTTGCACAGTGCCATCACAATGTGTAAAGGTGACCTATGTGTAAATATTATATA